TGTGTGTGTGTGTGTGTTTCAAATAAAAGCAGTTTCTGTATGTGTTCACCCATTTACTAAAGTGTGTTTGTGGGTATTTTAGCAATGGATTCACATGGGAGGGGTCGTGCATTTTTAAATGTGTGCATGTTGATGGATTTTGCCTTTGTTTTGTGGCACGTATTGAGAATGTGGAAATGCACTGATCTGGGGCTGAAAACTGTGCTTGGGTCCATGTTTGATTGGAGAGGTATGAGTTAGGTAAATACTAATAGTGACGATAATGATAATGACCACGGTAATTGTATGGATAATGATAATGATAATAACCCCCCTGGGCCATGCAGTGCCCTCACAGCTGAATTGCTGCTTAGATGACATGGTTCTCACCCCTTCTTTGCAGAATTGTTTCCCCTGTAATGATTTGCTCTCCCTGGCCAAAAATGCATCCTTTTTCCTGAGATCTTTGGCACTGGCCCACTGCTAGATTGATCCTTGCAGGATTTCCCAACAGCATCTGCTTTCTGCAAGATATTTTTCATTGTTACCGCATTCTCTCTCTAAACTGGATTGAAGTGGTAATTCAGCAAGACTTCTCTAATTAGGACTTCTCAAACAGGGATGGTTTCTTGGCCGTCTGCAGTGCCTCGCCCAACAACCACCTCCTCAAACACCAAACTTAGCCCCTGGGTCCTTCCTCCACGTACCAACTCCAAGGGAAGCTCAGCGGCTGGTAACAAGTGGGAGAGAATTCTTTGTGATGGCCCCTTTCTATGGAGCAACCGGCTCACAGCATCCCGCCAAACCCCAAATTTGCCATCTTTTCAGTGCCCGTTAGTTTTTTTCTTGGATACCCCGGGGCTTGAGGAGGTGACCCATCCAGGGCCTTTTAGCAGACTCATTTCACTGATTTTTAAAATATATTTGTATTGTATTGCCTTGTTTTATAGATGGTTGCTAACCGCCCAGAGAGCTCTGGATTTGGGGCAGTATAGACATGAAATGCATGAACGATCAGAATGAATAAACAATGCTAAATTGGATTTGGCTGTTCAGTCCCGTTGCATAGACCTTGGTAATGTATCCTACCCCATCCCTGGCCCTCTCAATAGACAAAGAGAGTGCCAGAACCAGCCCTTGGCTAAGGCTACATTGTGGACACTTCCAGCTCTCTATTCAGCACCTCCTTGAATGGACAGCTCCTCAGGCTCAGGTCTGCATGCTGCAGATTTGGCCCTCGACCTGTCCCTAGAGCAGTTCCTTTGTCTCGCTCAGGCCAGATAAGATGGCCTGACCGCAGCTGCCCAGAAGCAGGGATCCCGCGGTTTCCTGCCCCATCGCTGTCCCTCTGGGCTCCTCTGTCCTATGAGCCTCTCTCCCCGAATTCTATTGTAACTCGGATAATTAATTCCCGAATTGGGGCACGCACGGTTTTCTGTAGCTTTCATTTGCTTCGGTTCACCCTGCCCCAGCGAATTACTGATCCACATGTCTGCACTGTGCCGTTATTCCGGCTGCTCTGGCTGTGCTCCTAATCAGGAATCTATGATAATTGTTCTCATAATACCCACACGAGGTCTTCCTCTCCATGAAATGCCACACCGAAGCACCATGTTTGGATCAGAAGAAGTAAACGATCTCACACTCTTCTTCACTGGTCAGGCCACTTCTGGACTTCTGGATCCAGTTGCAGGCAACACACTTTTGCATGGGCAAGCTGAATTATATTCAGAGGAGGTTGACCAGGGTGGGGACTCTAGAAATTAAGGGATCTTTGAAAAAGCTGGAAGCATTTAACTTGGAGAACTCTAAAGTGGGGCCATCACTGCTCCTTTCCACTATCAGGTCTTTCATGAAGAACATGCAGCAGACTAGGGACCAGGGTGAGAACCAATGGGTAGAAGTGGTGGCTAATTCCATTTGGTTAAACGTTAGAAGAAGCTCTTTTATAGTAGGCACAGCCTGATAGCGGAGCAGATTGCCTCGGAAGGCAGCAGACTCTTCTTCATTTCTGGTCCTCAGATTTAGTTTCCTTTCTTATAACTGCAGTGTAAGCCAGAAAAAACCAGCAAAATAAAGTAAGTGAGCAAAACAGAGCATGGATCTGTCCAAATGATCACTAAATTCAAGATGTCCAGATTTAGCCTAAATATACGATTCTGTAAATGACTTTCATTGGGGGTTTTTTAAAAGTGGCGTTCGGTTGCATTTGCCTAGTAACATCTGGAAGGAACCCTGGATAGAAAGTCTTCTCAACTTCTTAAGATCTTTGTGAAAACCCAAAATGGCTGTTTTCTCCACAAAGTGGTGTTCTAGATCTGCTTTTAACCAGATGCTTTTCTGTGGGAAAGCATCACAGTGGGGAAGTTTATCAGCCTCAAAGAGATAAGTGATAGGGTCTATTAGCTAGCCACCATAGAGAACAGCAGTTAACTGAAACCTGGGAATTTTAAAGTGGACTTTAGATAGAATTTGTCAGGAATGTTACAATTATCTGCACTGGGGATCTTGCACTGAGCAAGTCATGGGTGAGGAGAGTTAGTTCCCTCACAACCCCAATGTGTTATGATTTTTAAAAATGCATTAATGCGCTCATGTCCACCATCGCATCAAAACTGCAGTGTTTTACCACTTCAGACATGCTCATTGGGAATCAAATGTGGAGGGTATGAAAAGACCAAAAGGTTTCTCGGCCTCCATT